TCCGCCACGTTGCTTGCTCCAACCATCTGCTAGACCTTCTCCTACACTTTAGCATCATGTCTATCGTACTTCCCGCTGCTCATGTGGTGAAATTTTCTGTATGAGAGGACACAGAGAGAAGCAAAATGATGACGTTTTCGGATTCACCATTCGATCTGCTCACCTCTCGAAAATCTCTTGGAGCGAGGACCATGAGAGTGATAACCTCGGATACTCACTTGCGGCTGACTTCCTGCATTACTTAAAAACCGCTTCTTCTGGCTTCTCAACAACTTTTAGCTTCTTGCCCACAACTTCTTCCCACCCTCTGCCTCAAGGTTTCCTCCCGTCCGCTCACTTGTCAACACGCATCTCCCTCATTTCTTGCTCGTAGGCTTTGGTGATCCTTTTCCTATAAATACTATTTGTATCGCATTTCATGCTGCCTAACCACACATGAAATTCCCTCGATTAGAGGGCCCAGAGAAATATTGCAAGAACGGTCAGGCATGACGGTAAATGTGGAACGGATGACTCTTGGGAGTGATAGCTATCCATGCTATTTGCAACTCATCTCTGGGTAAAAGGTAGGAGCAGAACATCCCATGGAACATTCCTAATTTCAACTTCCACATAACCACTTCTGATTGAGATAGTTCCCACCTAGCAGTTTCCCATGACATTGAAAAAGTTGTGATTGACAGTGGTCGGAAAAAGGGATGCTGAATTGGTTTGTGTGAAAAGTCACGTATTGTAGAAGAACTGGATTACGTGCAATCCAGTAAGTTGCAAATAGTTCAAAGTTCTCGACGCATTCGATATGATCGTTGTTCCTACCCGTTTGCAACTCGAGCAGAAAAGATGAGTCTTGCAAAGAAGCGTGTCGGCTCTCTGGCTATCAGTATTTTCCCAATAATTATGGACGAATCAGATAGGTAGAAAACAGTAATCGCTAGGTTTTATGGCAGTAACTGCTAGTTAGTTGGCAATTCACAAGGCAGGCTGCTCGTTGCTTCTGGAGAACGTACTGAAGGGGATCTATGTTGGCAGTTCACTGTATCGCCAGCCTTCTATTGTGCTATAGAATACTTGATTTTTGATTATACCTGATAGTAAATGATGGTAAACTCGTGCAAGTGGGAGACTTAAAATAGAGGACATAAACAAAATTATTGAATACTTCAACGGATACTAAATAATGTGTTGATGTTGGCAGATCTGCTTTTCAAACAAATCTTTGGTACTTCTTTCGTGCTACTATCGTCTCAAGTACCTTGTCATTATTGATACACGGTCATATAAAGTGATAAAACTACAGATTAAAATTGATTAGATGCCTAATTATGGCTAATAAATTTAGTATAGACTAGATGAGTTTGTTAGTAGGTAGTGTTTTTGATAATACTTAATAGTAATCAGTGATAAGACGCCATAACTAAGTAATCAGTGGCTCTCCTACCGTGTAAAAAATTATTCAGTTTTTAGTAATACTAAATAATATATATTATAAACTTTTGTGTTGAAATCACAGTTTTTCAGTGAGGTGACTCAGTAAAAGTAGAGGAAGGAAGGAAAACTCAGAGCAAGTGATTACTTTTTCATGATACTTAATGATATATGGTGATAAATCCGCTCTCTCTGAGGTATAAGCTAAGCGGATCGCTTTTTTTTTCGAAAGAATTTTCCACCGTCAGCTCAATAGATTGAAATGCTGTCTACCAAGTTGTTCAGCAGTGTTCAGTGGTATTTTCGATCTTCTTCCACCACAGAACATATTATGCGCAAACCGACCGATTGACGAATGATCGTCACACCGTCAATCGACTACAAAACATGAAAAGGACCCGTTGTTTACATAACGTTCAGTATATAATCGTCTTTTCGTTCCCGAACATTCACACTTCAACATCGACCAATACTTTATCGAAAGCTCTACGAAGCTATATTTATTTTTAGAATCATACTTTTGTTATCTGAAATTGTTCTGCCTTCAGTCCTCTTCGGTAAGACTGGAATACTTGTTGGTAGAGAAGTTCAAGTGTACGTTCCTTTTTCGCCAGGCAGCCGAAGGCTTTCCTAAACTCCAGAATAAGCCTTCAGTTCAAGCAAAAGTGATTAGATGGCTACTATTATCTAATTATTTATTTGTCTATCTAGGTTTCATTTTTTGTTTACTTTTTCTTCAACAGACCTATGACTTTGGTAGTCAAGAAGAATCAGAACTCAAATGGATCATCAAAAATTACTTCTGTGAAGGCGTAGCTCGGGTTTCGAGAAACTCGTACAAAACCTTCTAGAAGACAAAAGCGTGGCGCATCCAAGCACTTGCTCGATTGACTTTTGATTTTCTTTTTTGAATCGCAGAACTGTATGGTCGTATCAACTCAGGAACACTTTTTTTTGGTTATTCCTCCTCGCCTTTTCTCGTTTGCGATTGTGAACCCTGTATGAACAAATAATACGCATGCCGACCTGAACCCGTGACCTTGCGCATGGAAATCAAACGCACAACCCACTGCGCCAGCAGTCGCTCTTTTGGTTCACCTTTCCGAATCTATATCTGGTAAAACAAGAATTGATACAGGTTCTTCCGTCCTTAAGTCGTAATAGGAGGTAAGCACTACGTCTAACGAAAAGCTTGTAGCTGCTCTGCGAGACAGCTGACTAAGACATGGGGCGTCGTGAGACAACTAGCTAAGAATCGCCACGCGCTGGGAGCTAATTCACCCTGAAACCATGCTCATATTTGATTTATAAACAAGAACATAACAGCAATTTAAAAATGATTGGGAAAGTTATACCCGCTTAGGTTTGTTTGGGTTCCCCCCAGTCGGCCGCATCGCGCCATCCAACATTCTCCAAATTACTATATTGTCAAAATTTCTAAAATAAAATCTATCCAAGGGCCAACAACACTTCGGCGTTTCTGCGCTGATGCACGTAGACCACAACAGCTCGTTGTCATCGAGATTCCTGTTCCTACTAATTATAATACACATTTGAAATTTAATGTGTTTTTTGTGGTATCATCGATGTCTACGTTGTGCAGTGACGTGACGATCGTATGATTCTCTCTTGCCCATGTAACATCCATGTAATAAGCAGTTTGAAAAGAAACATTCTCTCACCACTACATCTCTCTTCACTCGTTTAATTTTATTTATATCAGACGATAGTATNAAATAGAATTTCTCTATCCAAGGGCCAACAATACTTTGGCGTTTCTGCGCTAATGCACGTAGACCACATCAGCTCGTTGTCATCGAGATTCCTGTTCCTGCTAATTATAATACACATTTGAAATTTAATGTGTTTTTTTGCAGTATCAACGATGTCTACGTTGTGCAGTGATGTGACGATCGTATGATTCTCTCTTGCCCATGTAACATCCATGTAATAAGCAGTTTGAAAAGAAACATCTTCTCTTCATTAAATCGCTCTTCACTCGTTTGTTTTGATTTCTATCAGACGAATTGTATGGACATGTGTACCTGTCGAAGGGCTTACGCTGCGCGGCGTTTTCTGGCTAGTTGTCTTACCTCGCGACAAGGCTCGGGATTCCCTCACTCTTTACCCAACTTGCCCTCTCAAGCTCATCTGTGCTCTCTACCTCATTCGATAATCGCTTTAAAACAAAAGTGACGCTATTCTGTAAAGAGCTCTGTTTTCGTCGCCGATGTGGGAGTAATTCAATGCCAGTAAGGAGGAAGGAAGGGGCGCTAACAAACACGTGGTCCAAGACGAGATCCTCAACCTTTGAAGGCCATTTGGGGCTTTTTGCTTTTCAAAATTCGCCTACAATGAAAACTATGGCCTCTAAGTCAAGTTCCTTTCAATTTACGGGATCTTAAGATGCTTGGCTCAATCGAGAATTTGTCGACTTTCACGAGATCTCTCAGTTTGCTTTGAATTGATTCATTCTATTGGCTGATCGTTTACTCGGTAGTCGTTTTACTTACATTCCCGATAACCCGTTCTTTCAATATACAGTTTTTTCAGTAATATGTACTGGTTATTGCTCGTACTAGTACAACTGGCTTTAGCGCAAAAGGAATGTCTGATATGTGAGTTGTAGTTGAATTTCATGAGCTAGAGGGCTAAACAATTTCCTTGATTACTCCATTACAGCGAAAGATTCCGGTTATGTATGTGATGAAGAGGCCGGCCAGCGATTTTACTTTGATATGCGTATGAAACGATGCCAACCATTCTATTACAAGGTTTGTGCTCACTAACAATTTCTTCTCAATAAATTAGGTCTAAAAACTTCTGAACCCCACTAAAGCACGAAAATGTGGATAAGTCGAAGGCCCGGTTTTCGATGATTACGGCTTTCGTTGTTCGCATTTCCGATTTCCGAAAGAAGGTGGCCACAAAAAATACTTTCGTTTTTTAGGGTTGTGGAGGCAACGGGAATGCGTTTATGACACGTGACGAATGCTTGAAAAAGTGTTCAGATGTCAAAGGAGAAACCGCCATTCAAGGTAGTTCATCACAATCAAAAAATCCAGGTTAGACCCTTATTGGGAAGATTCAAAAATTCAATTACTATCAATTTTTATATATTAAGAATGCTTCCACGAAGTTCGTCTTCGAAAATGTAATGCTTTGTTTGAATTTGCCATTTTTGTTCAAAAATCGATACTTCCAAGGCAAAGTTCACGATAAAAATGATTTCTGAGGTTTCTCTCCAGCATGAACCTGTGACCCTAGGCATCGAGAAACGACGTTAACAGGGCGTTATAGGGACTCCAAAACCAGCTTGGACAACTTATACGCCTAAAAGTGGCCGTGTTGCAACGGCCTTGCAAAGGCTGCACCTCCATAATGAAGCGTTAGGACGCCTACGAATAGTACGCCTATGTGGGAGACACCAGACGGCTACAAACATGATCTCATACGATCCCTTTCCTTACTACTTTTTTGAAACTTTTTATTTTGAATCTACTGGCTTTCGCACTTTCTTCGCCACTAAAGCCCTGTTCTACACCGTGGCTTTAGTCTATTCGTGACTTGCAGAATTATCGTGAACTGTGCCTCTGAGACTACTTGACTTTGAACTCTTTCTGGTGATCGATGGTAACGATCGTAGCATCGAATCCGGATAAAACTGTGGAGGCTAACTTGCCTTATAATACAACCGGTGAAATCAATAATCGATTACAGCTGTATGCAAATCTGGAGCGTATGCCGCTGGAGCCACTTCATTACCGGAACCACTTGACTGTACGGAATGTCCAAAAGGATATGAATGCGAAAACAAGCTATGCTGTCCAAAAAAAGGTATTGGTTTTGCAATATACTGAATCTGTTCTAAGCACTTTTTATTCAAAAAACAAAACTTATGCAGAAACAGCACACAACTGGCAGCTTTTCTAAATACCCCTTCGATGCTACTTCTGCGGCCGAGATCTCGTACATCTTTTCTATACTCGATCTCGCGTTGAG